TAGTTCCACTCAACAGTATGGTCATATCCGTAATAGGTAGGCTTGAAGGTCGTGTTTGCTGCGAGAAGGTCTGCACGGCAGAGATAGGTGGGCTGGAGGACGTTGACCAATGGGCCCACCTCTAGCTCATCGATAATGATGGGTTTTTTGTCTAGGACCTGAATTCCCGAGCCATTGTAGTATGTGAAATTACCATTGTCTTCATTGTACGTCCATACGACAGGCCACGGTACTGCAGGACCGCTTGGCGATATGGTGAGGTTGGACTGATCGATATATTTGGCGTCACGCCTCGAATACGGAAGTCCGACGTAGGGAATTGTGAATATCTGCTCGGTGCTTGCGGATATGGATATGAAGCCCGACATTATGGGCACTTTTGTCTCATCAATGTCATTTGGCGCCGTGACTCTGAAAAAGACTGTGACAGATTGCCCTCGCGGAACCAGAAGTTTGGAGCTTGTATATGCCACTTCGGCGTAGATAGCAAACTCGGGTTGCGTGTCCCAGAGCGGCTGCTGGACCTGAAAAGGATGGACACCGAATGGCAGATATTCCATTAATGCAGCTCCGTTATGCGTGATCGTGTAAATCTGTGTGACAGCGGCATTGTTGGTAATCGTAAAGTTGAATAACTTTTCTGCAAAATCATTTGTATCTCCAAGCGCAAATTGTGTTGGTGTTATGGTGGTATCGGAAGTAATGGCTTTGTACGGGTTGATAAGACCGGCCCCTTGTTGCACAGCGGTGGCTAAGAGGGAAGGATAGTACGCAGAAGACACTGGAGTCGCTGTGCTCTGCAATAATTCGCGGATCTCCTGTATGCTATAATCTGGAAACTGTGATTTGACTAAAGCGTACGATCCGGCTACGAACGGGGTTGCCATCGAAGTGCCTCGAAGCGCGGCATATCCGCCACGATACCCTAGCGGCCAAGTAGAAAGTATGGTAGCTCCGGGAGCCGAGAACTGAGGCTTTAATTCCAATGTATCCCAGGTAGGCCCAAAAGAGCTAAAGTAGCTAATTTTACCACCAGTCTCCATCAATGTGCTTGACACACTGTTGTCAGTGAACTTAAGCTTGTAGTTGGGATATCCACCAGCCTTGGCATAATTCGATACCAAAGTTGCGCCGTCACTGCTCAGAAGGTTCGTATAAACTGTGCTGTCACCAGCCTGTTCCAGGAGCACATATTGGTCGTCGTATGGAGATGATGTAGTGAGGGTGTAGTCCATGATGTAACTGAAGCCATATTCGGCCCAGAAAGCTTCCTTGTCGGCAAAGGCACACTCTGACCCGTTGTTATAAAAGACTATAATGGTCTCTTCCGGATTTGTTACGACCTCAGAGGCTTTTATCCAGTCACTCGCATAGCAACCCGAGCTTTCCATAACATAGACATTACGACCAGCCGATGGGGAATCAAGAGCCCAGATGGAGGCATAGCTAATGTTTGTACCTTCGCTGTCGAATGCGGAGTACACAACCGGGAATTGTGTGTTCTCAATAGATCCGACAGAGATGACATCGGTGCCAATTCCTGGGCTTGAGGGAGTAAACAGACCATTCTCTCCGTCATTACCGGCGGC